TTAACATTGCTATGATATTATTTAATTAGAACCAGATAAAATTAGGTAAGAAAGTAATGCCAGCAATTATATAGCTGGCTAATAAATATAATTTCACAGTATTCTGTAGATATCCCAAAGTGTTAATTATAACAGGAGCAAGCTAAATTCTTTGGCTATGAAAGCACAGCAGTTTTTAATAGATGTATCACCTGGTAACCTGGGGCATTATTAAAAATATGGAGACTGAAAACCTCCAGAAGCAGTGGAAAAGTCTGGCCAGACTAGTTAATTTGTTTTAGAACTATGGAGAAATCTATTAACCATTTCTTCTGTAGACCAGTTTGATTAGGAAGTAGGACAAGCCGCTCTTTCATTACTTACCAAAACCCCCACTGTACTTTGTATCAATTATTTGGCTGTCTGCAGCACATAGATTAGAGTAAAGGGCTTTCTTAGTGTTTGTGAATATTGCAGATTGCTGATTAGTAATTAAAGTACTGAATGAAGAAATTGGGCCCAAATTGAATGGGAATGAGAAAGTCTTAATTCTGTGATCCAGATGTTAGAAACAGATTGCCTTGAGCAGCCCATTCAATGCACTCACATTGTACATGGCCATGCAGTATTTGCTTCCCATGTAAAACTCTAGTCAGATGCTGTCGAGAAGGTTTCCTCTTCCATGCCTGTGATGTAGCTGTATGGGTATTAATTTAGTGAAATATCCTGTCTGCCAGGTGTGGGAACTAGCCGATTTTATTGTAATACCAGATCATTACTTAATTCATATGCAACAGAGTACAGCACATGGAAAGCATTATAAATCTATTTACAATGTGGCTGGTCTGATGATAACATTGTATTAAATTCCCAGGTGAGGCAATTTAAGCAATTGCTTTGCCATGTGCACGCCATGGAAATTAAATTCTCATATATGCTTTAGTAATAAACCAACTTCATTGTTATGTTTTTGCTTGTGGTGGGCTGTAGAATCCTCATTTTGGTTACATATACCGTGCTTCACATATAGAATCGTACAAGAGACACTACCAGAGATCACAATTTTTAATTAGTTTAAGCTAAGTTAATTTGTTTTGTTTCTAATTTAGCAGTGCTTGTCCATGAACACATTCAGCTCAGCTGGGAGATGTTAAGGCTTGGGTCAAGTAGATAGATTATTTCAAGCCAAATTTCCAGACAGAACTGGACAAGTGTATCTGTTTGAACTTTGTTTTAAGAAAATCAGCCAATCAGTGTGCAAATCCTGTTCATCTTCTAAGTCAAAAATTGAAAATCTTTTTGAATATGAAATTCTCAACTTTCATAACCAGACTTTTGTCATCATTTTAAAGTAGCCACTTAAACTTTGCATATCTGACTTCTCAGAGGCAACAGTCAATTGCTAATTTTCCATCTTTTTGTTTATACTTGTTCTGTAAATTTTCTAACAGTATCTAGTTCACTGAAGTATGTGTAAGTTGGAAGGAATGATGAGCTTTATATAAGCATACAACTAAAACTGAGGGGTGCTCTTATATTTAATACTGTGTGTGTGTGTGTGAGAGAGAGAGAGAGAGAGAGAGACAGAAATATTGTCAGTTGAAGTTTTTCCACCCTTATGGTATAGACCAGAAATTGCAGTAGATTACAAACTGCATACAGCTTCTGTCTTCTCCAGAAGCCACATATAAAGCACCAGCAGACAGTGGTAACTGACAACTAAGACTAAAAATGTTGACAATTTCTTGATTTGCCTGGTTAGCTTATGTATAGAAGTCATTAACTATTTATAAAATGCATTATGAATTGGGTTCCTTCAAACTGTAGCTGAATGTGTGACATTTCCAACTCAAATTCTCATGCTTGCATTTGGCTAAAGTACAGGTTTTATACTGTTGGTAATGAAGTAAAAACATTTTAGTTAGGTTTATCAAGATACAGGAAAGGTTCCCATTTCATTTACTTTTAATCTCTAGATTAGAGTATTATGTAGGTACTTACTAATAACTGTAGCATGAGGTTTTAAAAAATTCCTTAAAAGATAACATAATTTATTGATATTTTGGAGAAAAATTGTCCATAAAATAAGCAGTTTGGTATTCAAAGGAATTTTTCATTTTTGGGTTTTCAACTAGCTTAGTGATGATCTTGCAGACTGAATTATGGTTGATTACATACAATCAGCTTACTTAAAATTTCAAACATTCAGAAATTATGAGAGTATGCCAATATTGGGCATCTAAATATAAGTTTTAATAAAACAAAGTATTGTTGTTTTGTTTTTATAAAATGAAACTCAAGGGTTAAGAGTTCTGTCTTCAGAATTGTTGTGTCATTTTCACGGGGAACTTTTTCTGATACTTGAAATGAGTTGTCTTTTTATTCTTTAAGTCAGCCTGTTAGAGAGGACTTTGTTAAACTCAGCATATCGTTTGCTTAATGAAATCCAGAAAAGGCATCCAAAATGACCAGTTTTTGCCATTCCATTGGCAAAAAATGACAGTTAGGAGGACCACCCTTCAACTGTGTTCTCTACTATTGCTAAGCATGTATTCTCTGATATTGCTAGTTTTCAAAAACAGTACATTCTGGCCAAAACAAGATTAGGTATAGCGATACATATTTGTAATTTTCTTCTTTAGAAGTATGGTAAATAGAAGTAAGAATGTAATATAATTGAACAATCTATGCCAATTTGTTGGTATTTTGGTGAAAAAAGGGAAAAACAAAAACAATCTCCATATGATATTCTTCCATACTGTGGAATGTTTTAGTCCCCCATAGTGCTGAAATGAATAATTAAAAAGGCAGCTCTGATTTCACAGCCTGTTTAAAGGTTCTCATTTCCTTTAATGCTGTAAAATACTTTTTCTTAGTTAGTTTGAAACTACTGTAGTGGGGAATCTCCAAATAGGCAAAAGAAAAATGACTTGATCCTAGTACTGTATTAAGGCATGAAGTGGACTGTCTTTAATTTAGCATTTTAAATATAATTCAGTATGAAGTCAGTATAAACAGATTATAGTAGCTTCAGTAGCTCCGGTAAGAGAATCAGGCTTAATATATACTCTTCGCGGTGATAAAATATTCACAAGTGAACGAGTTGAGTCACTCCTGAATTTTCAAGAGATTGATATAGATGCCTTCACTGACCTCAGGCTAATGACGTAACTTCTCTAGTTTGTCCTTCTGCCTGCAACATTGTTGTAGTTTCATTTATCTACTTATAGACTTAATGCAGTTGCTAAGGTATAACACACATATATGTGTATATTTGTGGTAGGGAAACAAAGCTTAGCCTGGCCACTCAGAGCAGGAAAGGGATGTCTCTATTTACTTTATACTGTAACATTTGGCAGTTACTGTGCCTTTTCTCTGAGTCTATCCAGAGGGTGAAAGAATAGGGACTAGTTTTTGTAAAGTAGAATGAGCAGTCAACTGTGAGTCAGGACCCCAAGGTTCTAATCTCAGTTTAACCAAAACTACCTTTAGAATTCTATGAAGGTGATTTTGTTCCCTACAAATGGGAGGGGTATCTATATTTATTTAGCTTTATTTATATGCCATTAAGCCTTTTTAAACTGGGTTCTGCTAGAGCTATGAACCCTAAGTCTTCAATTATATGCAATAAACTAAATTCTCTCTATGTGACATCCTTGGGAGAATTGAGAAAATAGTCACAGAAATAACACTCTGTGTGTGTTTTGTGATTCAGATAAGGAACCCCAGTGGAAAAAGGCCTCTTAAAAATGATTTAAAGTTTATTGGTTGTTCTTGTCTAAGGTCCTTTTAAGTTCTAATCTAACGTGATTTTGTTTTAGATGTTTTCTGTGAGGCCAAGCATTGTTACTCACTGGCTAGTCTAAAAATCTAATTAAAATCTTGTTGACTTATGTCCATGGATTATAAGTAGTCCTTTTAAACTATAATACCTTTTCAGAACACAGTTAAACAGGTAGGAAGTTTTAAGTCCCAAACTGTAGACTCCAGTAAGAAAGCAATTATTCTTTCCCTTCAACCATTTTCTAATTGCCCATTTTTGCTCAGTTCAGGAGCAGGAAAAGCAGCAAAGTAACTTGTAAATCTGAGTTTATCTCTGAAATAGTGAAGATGAAGTTGGAAATGAGTACCATACTCTAGTTTCACAATTATTTTCAGCTCCTTTTGGCTTTTGCAGATGTGTGTACATTTAGATAATTCATGAATTGCTTGCAGACATGTCCCTCTGACTTTACAGGAAGAAGTAGATTTCTTGTAAAACAAAATTTCAGTGTGTGAAACGTTGACTCGCAGCCTTCTTGTCTTTAGTTCCTGGGATTGTGAAAGATTGACCTATTGTCTACTTGCCTATTGTCTACTGGGAGTGGGAAATTTAATTTGCTTTACTAAACACACACACACACACACACACACACTCCCATTACTTTTCCTTAAGCCATTATTTATAGAGAAGTTGGAGACATTTAAATCATTGTTTGGATAAGGATGGGATTTTAAATTCATTTTGGATAGTAACATTGCAATAACGAAAGGAATATAGATGTGCTAGTCCAAGCATTCCAGCATAGAGTTGGAGATACAATTTTTATCCTAAAATTAGAAATTTTTAAAGCTCCAAATTGTAGTCCATTTCCTGCTATAATATTGAAGACCTGTATATGTTCGTGCTTTAATTACAGTCTGTGAGTTTTATAGATAAAGAGCTATTTAGCTATATTTCTTTCAAGTCCAGTGGTCTTATTTGAATGATAATATATGGACTAATATACAAGTTCTAGTCCATTTATGAATGTTTACATAGTACAGAATGTTCTCTCATTGGCATTTTTAAAAACTCTTATTTACACTAATCCTCTCAAGTTCAGGAACTTTACACAACTTTGGTTTGCAAATGTTCACCAGTAGGTTTCCATTAGGGGGCTCTCGAGGTTTGAGATGATCAGCCTTGATTCCAATAATGCTTGGAAGCCTTTACTTTCTAACGTTCATCTCCCTCTTTCCCTTTTTGTTTTGTTTTATAGAAAAGGTCACGGATCGCCTACAGTGACGAAGTACGGAATGAGCTCCTAGGGGATGATGGGAATTCCTCAGAGAACCAGGTAGAATGCTAATGGGGAAGGCCCGGTGGGTGGCTGGAGGGTGAAGGAGGTCACAGGCACACTGGGCTCTCAAGCTGCTCCTTAACAGTATTAGCAGCAACTCATGTGGAAGCGGTACTGTTTAATGCAAAGCTGGAGTCTTAATCAACTTCAAAATGTTTCTTGGAGATCTTACATTTAACCCTTTACCTTGTGATCACTGTCTGCTATCTTTTTAAAAATCTTTTCTTCTCTTTTCTTTATTATTTAGTACTTAAGGAATAACTTGAAACACACTGTTTGCAGACAAAGCCAAGGTCTTCACCTCAAACACATGTAAAAGGAATAAAAAAGTACATAATACAGCTTTGATAATAATGCAGTATAATTAAATCAACACTTGCAGCAAAACAAATGAAAGTAAGCTTTCAAAATTCAGCAGTGCAGCTCAGTCTCCTATTGTGTAGCTTCTTAAAAATACATTCACCAAAATGCAAATTGCAAGCACCAGTGCAGAACTTGGCTACCCAGACAGAGGACCTGCTTCTGCCAAATAATAGTAATAAAATAAAAATAGGATAAGTCTTTTTTGCATTTTAAGATCTGCATAGGTTAAAAAAAAAAGAGAGAGAGATACAATTTCTTCTTAAAAGGGTCTTACAACTTGGCTGTCAATTCTCATTGGATCACACAGTAGTGATATGAGCCTAATTAATGTACTACTTCTGTCTTTGAATTAATACTGCAGACTTTATTAACTCAGATTGATTATGTACATGACTTTTAAAAAATGTTTCAAGCACCTCAGTGAAGAGATGATTTAAAAAAAAATACTTGTCCTAGACTCAAACTGCACTAAAGATTGATTGAGGATGGGGAACCTCACAAAGCAAGACTTGAATGTGTTTATTAAGGTTACTTTGGCAGATATAGTAAAGATCTCTACTCTGGAAAATAAATCATTTATTGGGAAAATCAAAATTTCTATAAGATAATGAAACAATACTGATACATTATAAAACTTGCATAATTGCATTTATCATTCGATAAATGGTATACCATTATATCATCAAATATAATATACTAAATTACCATCTGCTATACTAAATTACCATCTACTATATATATGTCTGTTATAGTATCTGTTAGAATATTAATACTATAAACAGGGATGTTACTGGTATGATTAAAGCTCCACCCACCCACCCTCCCAGAAAAGGAAAGAATTAGTAAGTTGATGATACTTGTTTTGTTGAAGTTCTCATGTCCTCCACTATTTGAATGTAACCAGCTTGAGTTCAGACAAGTAAACACATTCAAATTTGATGGGATTTCAGCTTCCCTGATTGGAAAAGGAGAATAGCAAAAGGAAAAAAAATAGCACATCATACATAAAAGAGTGGTGTGATGGAGTGGTTTTACTCATAATAGGTTAAATAATATGAGGATGAGAGAAAAAATATTTTCTTCCTTTTTTTAAAGTGAGGTTTGGCTTGTTTGTGCCTCTTGAATGAATGAATCATAGTTTTCTCTCCTACCTACTGCAAAAAAACCATTATCTGGTTTCCAAAAAAAAGTATATGTAGTTTAGTTCCCATGTCAGTTCTTTAAAAAGCTATAGATCTTTCCCTCATTTGAAATTAGTGCCCAGTGTAGAGGAAATAGAAAGGAAGGGGCTGTTCCTGTCTGGCTCTGACTCCTTTCTTGTAATGAGTGTTGTAGTTCTGTGACAGGAATCCTTTTTTTTTTAAAGCCTGTTCACTTCTCTTAATGGACATTTTATGTGCCTAAAATATTTGCCTATGTACATGGAAGTATGATTTTATGCCTAAAGAGAAATACTCCACAAAAATAGATTTGAGCTTATATTTTTCTGAATTTTTCAAATTGTATTTCTGTCATTTTAAAGTGATTATGCATAGATTTCTCCTGGACTTACATAAATCAAACTTATAGATTTTGAAAGTGCTTGGAGAACCTGAAGTTTGTTTAGTTGTAAGGAGCTGTCATTTCAGTAAATAGAGTCTGATAAATTTTAGTCATGAGATTATGTTACTTTTAAGATTATTACTTATGTGAACTTTTCAGCCTAAAATTTGAATGGAGTTTGAAAGTTCAAAGAGAACATGCTTACCTTTTGGGATATTTTGTTACCAAGTATAGCAAACTTTCTACATCATGATGTGTTTTGAGGCTCTTTGCCATAATGTAGGCATTAAAATATCTCAAACTAAACATATCCTTAACCAAGTATAGTCAGTTGAAAATAACTTTTTATTCTACATTGGCATTTATTCAAACTAAGTAATGAAAACAGAAGCTCTTTCTTTAAAGAAAAGATCTTTCTTCATATTAATTTTTGTAGCTCAGAGCTAGGAAGATAGGTTTTCTGGGTAGGAGTACCTATAATTTATTAAGATAATATTTGCAGCCCAGAAAAAAGTTTATACTCAATTTAATTTTGATAGGTTGATCTTCAGCACTTTTGATATATAACACTTATGATAAACTTTTATAGGTCAAACTTGCCAATAAAATGAAAAAATTAGCAATATTTTTAAATTTAAATTGGGATATATCTGTCAATTAAAAACATATAGGGAGAGTAGAAAAGGAAAATAAGGAATTAATTGCAATGATTACATATAGATAAAATAAGTTGCTGACTAGTCAATTCCAATGCAGTGTGCACATCTCCCTATAGTGGTTTCTTTGTGAAGATTTAAACAAGTATGAATATAATAGCTATTATTTCTCATTCTGGAATTTATGATGCAACTTTTTTTAGGCATCTAAAATCTGATTGTTAATACATAATAGTTTATTATCTTTGAACTAGCTATAAATTACATTTTCTCTTAGGTATATAAACATTTCTGCCATAATTGGAGATACCAATATTTCAGAAATTTAGAATTTTTCAATTCTTAATTGAATGTCCCTCATACAATGCACATTCATTTAAAGCCAAATTAATTGCTTTGTATAAATTTGTTTCTGGCTTATACCCATTTATTGTTTCTTTGCACATTTGAGTATTGTTGGGTTATCATCTTTCCAAGAACTATTGTCTTAAGTGTTATCCTTTTATTCTTTTAAAATAGGGTATTTGCCATTCAGTATGGCAACATTTCTTTTCTTTGAGAGAATTGAGTTCTTGAATATAGTGGTGCTGTAATTTAGAGTGTAAACCTTAGTAGTTCTTGATTTCCTTTCATGAGAACCCTTCTCTAAAAAGGAAAGAAACAGCTTATAGAACAAAATCATATCGCCTTTGTATAGTGGAGAATGCTAATGGGGCAAGTAAAATATTAAGCTCTCGCTTGGAACCCTAGCAGTCTTACAGTCACCATGTGCAAAATTACATTGATCAATGACTTTGAGTAAATCCGAAATAGAAGATTCAAAAAGTATGTAAAGGGTAGGATAATTCCAAACGTTGAAACAGTTTTTGTGGTGAAGCAATATTTAGTAGATAATGATTGCTTAATTTTTCTAATGTGAGGTTCTCTTAAGTTCCGACTCGGGCTTGCTGTGCATAAAGTGTGTCAAACTTCAGCTACGGAGCAGGGGGTGAAGCCGGTCAATTTAATTCCCCGAGATCTGAAGAAGGTCGGTATCATTTCTTATAGCCCTGGCAGAGCAGATCATTACCAGGCACAAATCTGTTCGTTACGTGCTGAGGGTTTATAGCAAAATAAATAGACTGTCATCATAAGTTCAGAAAATTGTGTGTTCGACCCACGATAATGTGTAAAGGGCGTTTAATAGAGTTCAGCATTTATTCGTTATCTGTGTGCGGACAGAGACGGCAGTCGCGTTATCAGCCTCTAAAAAAAAATTCGGTTGCGGTGGGGGTCACGTGACGCCCGCGCAGGCCAGCCTCCCACGCCTGGCAGCGCGGGTTTGATTTTAGTCACAGCAGAAGGCTTAACCACAAGAGATTCCACTGGTTCAAACCAGCGTAAACCAGATTTCTTCAGCCCACAAAGGAACAGATTACCTCTTGTATCAAATTCTGCATTGGGGGAGAAAAATCTTTGTTTCAATAAAGATGTTGATTATCGTAACCCAACTTTGTGACATTGCACACTTTCATGTCACCTATGATGGAGCTAATAACTCAATAAAATACGAAATCACTACTTACAGTATAGTCTAAGCATTGTTCATTTTCAAACATACACCATCTTTGTTTAGTTCAATGCATAACTCTGGGCCTAATTAAAAAAAAAAAAGATAAAGATTAAAACCCTCCCATTACCTAGCTTAGCTACAAATCCGGTGTGGAGCTTGAATGCAGCCATGCAGCACAAACAAGATAGAACGGTTTTTGTTTGGAACCTATTGAAAAAACAAATGGGTAGCATTTTTAAACACTCATTGATTATGGCAGGGTGGCATGCCCCAAATGGTCTCCATTGCTGAGGAGTAGTTTTAAACTTTGGCCCTTTAAGTATCATAGTCAACTGAAGAATGGTTGCCTCAGAAAGAAAAGAGGGCTGTGCGATCAATTCCCAGATCATCTCGTTCTGAGAAATGTTTGCTTTTTTCTCCCATGATGTTCGAATAGCAAACAGAAAGATTCCAATATATGATAGGCCAGGTATCTTCGTTTAATATTTTACTTCTTCTAGGGAAGAATTTGTAACTTTTCTTGTAACGCGATGAGTTGCTTTTACTTGAACACGTTGGATGGTTGCTGAGAGAATGAGTGTATTTAAAAATAATGGCAACTTCTTGTCCGTTTTGAAGATAAAATATCAAAAGTTTAATTTTTATTAAATGTGCACTGAGATGTATAATAAATTCTATACCTTTTTATAAAAGGTTCATACCAATTTTGAAATCTCATTCTTTTGTACTTGAAATACTTTTCATGTAACAAATGAAAAAACAAAAGCTGGAAAGCATACCGCCTGCCTTGAATTTGAGACTAAAAGAGCATTAAGCATTGAGAATTCAGGGCTGGGTAAACATGATACTTTTAGAGAGCTCTATAATGAGAAATTCATAGCATGTTTCTCCCAGAGCAATAGTTTAATTTATTGGCCTGCGAATGTCAAGTGTTATAACAGATGTTGCAGATATTGGTATGTTTAAAAATTATCAGTTGTAGACCTGAATTGCTGAGGATGCAAATTTCAGAACTACAAAATGGTTTATAGTCTACTACAACAAAGGTTTCAATTTCTGTGCATTTCAGAAACTGTGGTAGTCATCTTAACTATACAATGATATTTGTGGTTTAGAATAATGCCAAACACAACACACAGAGAGAATGAAGCAGATTACATCATTTTTTTAGTTCCTACAGGTTAAGCAACTTGTTTTATCTGTTATATTTAAGGCAATAGAAAAATGTTTTATATAGGAGAATTAAAATGTTATCATAGGAGAATTACTAAAAAGAGTGATTTTTTATTTAATTTAGTGAAAACGTACCACAGCACAAATGAAGAAGAGGTTGTTGCTTTAAGATGGCTTAGTTTATAAGATAAAGAGAATTGAAAAATGAGGAAACAAAACATGCCATGTGGTTGCTGTAGTCTCTTAAACAAAACAAAAGTATCTAAAAATTAGCTGATACATAATTTATTCTCAATCAAAATAATGTTACCTCCAAATGCAGTCCTGTTACTAGAGTGGGTACAAGTATGACACTGACTCACATAATAGTTTTTTGCTTTAAATACTTACTGGAACCAAAACATGAACTAGTAATCATTTTCATTTGTTGGTAAAATCTGAAATCACTTGTCAAGGCTCTGAATAGAGAAACATCCTGAAAACTTGTATATACAAAACCTCTTCAGTGGTACGTTCTTAGAAGAGAGGAACAGTAAACTTGTTTTCTTTCTTTATAATATAGACTTCTATGAAGTCATTCCTCTTTATTTCATGATGGTGTCTTAGATGTACTTTAAAAGAGAATTTCACACTATTCTCTTTGTTTAATGTGACAGTGAGAAAGTGATCTTTATTCGTTCAAAAAACTCTGCGTGTAGTCTATGTTTAGGTTCTTTTAATGTGTTTGTCTGTGATTTTTAAATGCTAAACATGTAAACAGATAAATTGTCAATGTTAATTCTGTACACTGTCACACAACTGATCTTTCTTTCCTGCCATTTCTTTCCTTTTTATCTTTTTTTTTGTGCATTCATGTTGCAGTTGATAAAATTACGTGAAGAGGTGAGTAGTTTCTAGCTTCCTTTTTTCCTTTTAATTCTACTTTTCCTTATAAAATTCTGTTTCTAAATCTGAAGTGAATCTTTGCATTCATTTTCCCAGGGAAATCTACACATAGCAAAATTGGCTCAAAAACCTTTTGTACTGACCATCTTATAAAAAAAAATCAGCTGTATTCCAATCATGATTACTACAGGGCTCATTATTCTTTGTTGACACTGAAGGAAAGTTAATATTTTGAAGTCCAAAAACAAAACAAAGGGGGAGACAATAAAGGAATATCTTTAAACTGTTCTGAGTTTTATTGTAAGCTCTAACTTCAAATTTGCTCTATTTGTGTTGGTTTCTCGAAAAAAGATAATATGATTTAATTTTTGGTGAGATTTTGATTTACTTTATTAAAAACTGTTCTTAAATCAACTCTTTTCCCTCCCTCCACATTCTCAGGCTCAACATAAGACACCATGAATGTGTTATCCTTTTGGGAAACATACATAAAACATACATACGTTATAAACACCCTGCTAGTCCATGTACACAGATACCTAAGGATAGCCAAAGCTCGTGTCATTGTTAAATACTTTCCTTTTGTAGGAAATTGCACCCAAATGGGTTCTCATTTTTCTGAGTTTACTAGTCAGTTTCATTATGTAGCTCTGGACTTTTTGTGGTCTAGTAAATAGTTGCAGCAATGTTAATAATTTTATCCTCATATCAATGAGGAATGCTGAATCTGTTTATAGTTTTTGTTTTACTTTTAATTAGGCTACATATGTCAAATATGCTTTGGTTTTTTTTTCTCAGAGATAAAATAGTTATATTTTTTATTTAGTAAGTTTGAGTTTTGTTATTTTTCTATTAAGACATAGAAATGGACCATACTGCCATTTAAAAATTGTCTACTTGCTTATAATCAGAGTACATTGAATTACTTTTGACTTTGGGTTGGATATATTGATTGATGTTTTCCTAGAGGTTTTTTAATTGCTGTATCATTATTCTCTAGGTGATGCGGATGTTAATATAGAAGCTTATAAATAGTGGTTTTCAATAACTCTTATTTCAGATGCATTAATGATGTCCCCTCTTAGTAAAAGTAAAAGTAGCATATAAACTGGTGGGTGAAAACACGAACACCATCACTATCCAGTGTTTTTGTGGATTTTCTTTTCTGTATGGGATGTGGGTGCATAGATAGATAGATAGATAGATAATTGCAGTTTTGATGTGTAAGATTATTATTTGGGTGAGTGATTTTTCTGAATGATAGAATATCCATTTGTATATATTTACATATTCTCACATTTAAGTGAAGAATCTGAATTTTCAAATGTTGATGGAACTAACGATAGAGTTAATAAAGAAATTACACAAAGCTCTGGTCCCTGAATTTAAGCAATGAGTATGAGCAGTAAAATTTGTACCTTATTCTAATCAGTATTTTTGTCAGATTTTTGTTAAATTGAGTATGGTATAATTAGAAATCTTAATTCTAAAAGCTTAAAACGTTATGTATGCATTTCTTTTAAGATGTTTTATTGTTGTTTGATGGCTTAATTATTTGTTGTTTCTGTATAGCAATAGTTTTATCAATTATGGCTCTAGAGTTTATGTTTTTGAAACTGTGCCCTGTACATAGAATTATAATTGGAAGAATTAGATCATTCAACTAATAGACTGATCTACTCTGAAGCAAAATTCTACATATTCTCTGATCTGGATATAGCATAGATATTTATAGACTAGATTTTGAGGGTGACATTGAGTTGGCATATGGTTTGCTCAGAGGTGACTACCTCTCAGTCAGGATTCTAATAGTAATCATACAGTGAATGTTATCCCAGATTTCTTAACTGGCACCTTTGCTAAGAAGACAAGCACCCATCTGCCCCAAAATACGATGTTTTATTGTGTTTGGAAACAAAGTGTGCACATCCCTTCCTCAGGAGGCTCTTTTCAGGGCTGCTTGGAGGCAGGGCTGGGTGCCGAGGGAGCTGATGTAGCGTTGGCTGTGCCGAGCTGTTTGAATCCTGCATCTCCAGCTCTCCACTTTGCACAGCTCCTCACACAAGTTGAGCTCTGTCTGAAGCTCCTGCACAGCTTCACTTACCTGCTTTGAAAAGGGCTGAGAAGAGGGTGAGAGAATGAGTTTGGGATGGAGTGTGGGGGCAAGTTGAAAGCATCAGCTGCTACTGTAGTGTATTTCCTTTCATTTATAGCGACCAGGGCAATGTATGACTAAGGGAACAATGTAAATAGCGCAGCTGTTATAGGAACTTGATTTTAGTTTGACTTAAGTAAAGAGGTTCCAAAATACAAAGTGAAATCCTGCTGGAAAGCTGCTGGTAAACCGATTGTCCTCTGTGTGCACATTTACTCTGATAAAGTCAAAACCTCCGGAAGAAGCAGTTACTTCCGTTATTTGAGAATATACACTTTTTAAAGTTCTTGCCGGGATTTTCTCTCCAGTACAACCATACAACCCACCAAATCATTCCACATTTAAACACATCATTTTCCACATTGTCTATCAGCATAGCTTTATTTTCTACACTGGATTTTAGCATGTAAGTGGAGTATCATTTCCAGTACTGATCTATAATTTTCTAAATCTGTATTAGCTAAATGTTTTATTTTTATATTATATCCAATATGAAAATGAACCCAAATATCCTCTTCTCTTAGTGTGGATTAAAATTCAGATTTACTCTTGCTTTCTAAGGTTTGATTGATAACCTTTTATGAAAACCAGAAGTTTGGAGTTATAAGTCCTTTGTTTAAGTAGAAAACAATATTCAGAGGAGGGAAGAGCAGTCCTTTCTCCCAGAATCTACATGTAGGGAGATTTAGGTAGGAGAAAGATATTTATGAGAAGCTTTAGTAGTATCTAATTTTATTTAAAAATAGTCAGCAGTGCCAAACACATAGAGCTCTTTGCTCTTTTTCTTTCAGTTGCAGCCTTCAGTGATTTTGCTTTTTCATGATATACGACGCTTTTGTTCCTCCATTTTATTTATTTAGGATTTTTTTTTGCAGAGGGAGGGGGCAATATTTTTCTTAATTTTCCCACTATATACTAGACAACTCTATTAATTATTATAGACTGTTATTGCAGCTTACTGACCTTCACATCAGGTCTTATCTCTCTGTTCTAAATGCATTGTTTTAATGATTCTCTTCCCCTCCAACCCTTCCCCCCAAAAAAATTTCAAGGAAAGCTTTGATGTGGCTTTAGCTGCCTCTAACGTCTGGCCGCATCTCAGATGTGTCACCTATGCCGGGAGGGAATAAGGAAATCACGTTTTGAATGGTAATGATAACATACTAATCACTTCCTTTCTTTGAAGATGGAAGCGAGATATTCTGTCAGCATCCCTGGCTGCTGGAGCTTGGAGGCACTGGTCTAGGTGTATTAGCTTAAGTGTGCATGTCAATACAGCTTGCATCTCCAAGATCCGTGGGGGCTCATTAGAGCAAGGTACATCATTTCACTCAACAGCCACTCAGATAATGTGTGTGGCACCTCCTTTTTTATTATTATTAGAAGGCATTTCTTCGATTTTAAGTGACATCTGTCAACAACACAAAGTTGTAGGTGTTGTGGTTGTATTTTTTTATTTTATTTCTTTTTGAACAGATACCAAAACCAATTTGAGGGAAGAAGGTATAATATACAAATACATGTACACAAAACATACACGTAGATACACAGACATACATACTCATTTGTCTCTGAGTTTCCAGGAGTATGTCGGATCTGTACCACACACACAGATATATATACTCATTCGTAGCCATAATTAGCATATAGATCTATTTTAGCAGCCTAAATGGATATAGTATATATTTTAAAAAGTTAAGAAGTCTTCATGTAGGAAAGAAAGTTTAGATGCTTAGAATTTGGTAGAAATTCTCTAATTTCCCCCATAGGATATAATATAAAAGAGATAGTTGTAATTATTATAATTTTAGTTTATAGTCTAAAACACTATCTGTTAAAAGGTTCATCTTCAATCTAGTGCCTTATATATGGGAATAAATCCACAGTTCTTTACATCTGTGTAAATGCAGAAACCTGTATCTCTTCTTTCTTGGTGGTGCCCTGAGTTGTCTTCAGACTAGAAGTGCTGTTTAGTATTCTGTTTTAGTAGCATATGTTCTTCTATATGGCATCTTGCTGCACATCCAAACTTAAGGAGCATTCTCTTAAAAATAAAGTTCCTGTTTAAAAATTACTATCTTCAGGAATCAAAGGAACAAGAGGATTTTTGAAATGATTGCATTTTATAAAAAATCAACACAAATAGAAATCATAGATCTGTGCATGTATTGGAGTAAATTCATTGTGGCCACTTACAATATGAGTCATCTTTTAAAACAAAAAAGTGATGGTCCATGTGTGAGTGATTGGAAACCTGTCCATTGTGTTCCTGTAATGAAAGATTTGCTAAAAATTAACTGTAATGGATTGTAAGCCACCCCCCCCCCCCGCAACACACACAAATGTGAGGGCATACAAAGGCATTTTTTTTTAAAGGCAAAAAAAGAACATTGTAGACGGCCGTCTGATTTTTTTCCCCCCTTTTTCTTTTTCAGAGGGCACATCTGCTCGATAACACAGAGAGGCTGGAAAGGTCATCTCGGAGACTAGAGGCTGGATACCAAATAGCAGTGGAAACCGGTAAGAATTCTGAGAGTGAGCAAATTGTCTTGCTTATGCACAGCAGTCTTCACAACACATGACATTTCAGGGAAACTTCAAAGGAGTAGCAGAGGCAGAGCCCGAGATGTGGTTTACATATTGGGGAGACAATTGGGAGCTTATTTGCGCTTATCTTTTTTCAAGTTAAAAGGCATGACATCTACTGAAAACAGTTCCTGAGGTTTAAAAGTATACATCTGAAAAGAGATGGAATACTTTGTCTAAATTCTACATTTGTCTTAATATGCAGTTACATGTTGTCAGTTTACCCACCCGCAATGATTGCTAGGACACCGTGCAGTCCGCTTGTTTGCTCCTTTACGTTTTATTCACATATGTAAAAATTAACATTTTAATCAATCTGAATGATGTGGACTGGGGACAAAGAAATAGTGATACCTAGTTTACTGTATTTTTCTTGGTGTTGGAAATGCTTCCTAATGGTCTTGTATTTAAAAAAAAAAATTATCAGATCCTACAATACGATAGGAAAAGCCATAGTAAGCATCAGGCTTGTTGGTGAAACTTTGTTACAGCGCTAGCTAATATTGTCAGACTTTTCATTTGAACTGACCATAGTCACTAATTTCAGAAAACACACTCCCGCTTCTTCTAAGACTTGTCTATTTAAAGTAGACAAGCTTTTCAATTATAAATATTTCATGCAATGAGTATTTTTACACCAAAAACAAATATCCATTAAGGCCATAGTGGTTACCAGTTTCTTATTCTTTAGCCAGTTTTTTTTGGTTTTGTTTTATAGATTATAAGTAATCCATTTTAATATATTATTTTTGATAGCTCTTACCCAGAATATAAACCACAAAAACTTGTGATCAACAAAATATCCATCAATTTTTTAAAAATTTAATGTTGCCAAAATGTTGATTTCTGGAAGCACAGGTATAATGAAAATGATTCTAAGTAATTTGGTTTTGAATGGCTAGTGTTCTTCTTGCCCTGGATCTCTGGCTCTCCTAAATGGATTGGTTTATATGATGAATGGTAAGGAACTGAACAAGGAGGAATGCAAACAGCACTGGCATTCTATTATTGGTGAGAAATATGAGGAACACCATAAACCTTCCCATATTTTTAATAGCATGAGCTGTTCTTTTTGAGGTTAGTGATGGATTGGCTTTCTGCCCTGACCAGAATGAAAGCCAGCTTTTGTGTGTTCTTTTAGTTTGGGGGTTCACCTGCAGAGGTGACTCTTGGGAAGAATGTGAGTAGTGGAAAGAGCCCTGAACATGAGGTAAAAGGACCAGGCTCAGTTTGTGATTCTTGTTTGTGTGACCCTGAGCAAATCATATAATTGTTCTGAGCCTCAGTTTCTTCTTCAGTAAAATGGGAATAATATTGCTTGCCTCACAATGTTCTTTGAGAAAATAGCATATATTAAAGGGTTTTTACACCTCATCAATACATACATAAATGTAAGTATTATTATTAATGTGTGTTCATTTGTTGCAACCCAGTGATTATCTCATAGAAAATAGTCTTTGTGTTGCGAGTGAAATTTGCTCATTTTAATAAGGTGGGGGAGGAATGTACTACAACAACCCTTAGGAAATGTGGCATTGTCTCTATTGAACATTACAGTCACTAAGGGGACTTTCCATTCATGCGCTTCTGCCCACATGGGACTGGTTTGGACCTGGGCTTGGGGGACTCTTGCTGAAACCCTGATCACAAGGCTTAATTTGATTGCTGGGGCACATAGTTGAGTGTCTTTTTTCCTCTTTCACTACGGAATTCATGTAGTTCCTTCCCAAAGCTGAAGGAAGTCTTTAATGAAGATCACATATACCAGAAGGCCATGCATTGATCATGAGTGTAAGCCTGGATGGGATTTGATAGTTATCTTTTTGGTTTGTGTATACAGTGGTGTGTAGAATACAATGGTAGATTAACTATAAAGTTTTCTAAAAATAGAAAACTTACAAAATAGAAAAGTAGCCCTCATTTTGGGTTCTCTAAAATGCTCTTTGAGATATTACTTAAGTATAAAATCTAGGAATTATAACCTTGTGTACTGAATGGGAGAGAGAAAACTCCTATCATTAGGTCTTGTCACTTAAACTCTCCACATATATTCTCATGTTTGAAAAACAGAAGTCTGTCATATAAAGCTTGGGAACTTCTGGCAGACTACAAAAGTAAGTCTGGGAGGAGGAATAAGAATATACCTTTTGCAGTCAGGACAGATGTGACACAGCCTCTGCCTAGGCAGGAGTTATGCTAATTCATTTCCTTGTTTAAGTTTGAACGTGGAGTCAAATGAGAAGACAGGGAACAGGAAGATTGCTTTTACTTCTTCCTAAAGTAATGTGGAAGCAGTGCATTATGGTGGACAACATATTGCTTCTATATTTCCTTCCCCCTGCTAGCCCTCACCCTAGTCATTCTTAGTCAACAAACAGTTCTGTGTTTTGATTGTATAGAAGTTTATGTTGGTCATCTTTTTATTATAGTAGCAGTGGAAGAACAATATCATATAGCATCTTTCTAAAGGAAAAACTTTTTAAGCAGTGCTGGGGACAGTTTAATGGTATGATAGCAATTGTAGGTATGTATTTTTCTTCACCTGATAAATAACAAAAGTGTCACCCTCATTTTGGGTTCTCTGAAATGTTTTTTGAGATGTTACTTAAGTACAAAATCTAGGAATTATTACCTGGTATACTGAATTGGAGAGAGAAAACCCCCATCATCTGGCCTTGTCATTAATTTGCTGTGTGACTTTGAAAAGTCACTTAAGCTCTCCACATATATTCTCATATTTGCAAAACAGAAGTTTGACATTAGACTATCCCACAAGGTTGTTATGAGATAGAATAAGGTCAGATTTAAGTGTTTAGAAAATAAAAAACTGTGTATATTTATAAGTTACCACCACCAAAACATAGTTATCTTTCACAATAACTGGCAGGAATTTTAACAAAAATTTATAAATCACATGTTAATGTGATTATCATAATTTGCAAATATCATTTTAAAAAAAGTAATACAGACGATACAATAGAATGCATATAATTTTGATTGCTACTGTCTTCCTAACAAATAATAGAATTCATCTTGTAAAACTCTTGAATCACTTTTGACATTTTTAAGTTGTCTTGTCAAATAGGTAGCTATTACCTCTGAAGAACAGCTACTGAGCAGAGGAACATGCCTATGATTATTTTTAAGTGCCATTTGTACCCAATATACATTGAGTTTAATATCAATCAAGTGTTCTTCATGGATCTCTTTCTATTTGAGAAATCAGTGAAGTTACAAATCAATTAAATAACTCCATTTAATAAAGAAGGGAGAGTTAGAAGAGTATGACATTAAAGAGCTGATGCTAGCACATTCCAATTTAAGACTGACACCAAGAAGGCCCATTATCAGACTCATTAACAAAACTTCCTTGGGAATGACTGCCATAGACTAGATACTATGCTGACTGCAAGAGCCATTGACTTGATTCATTTTTCCTTTTCTTCTAAGCTCTTGTCCTGGAATTTCTGAATAAAAGATGACTCTTTTTTTCAGTTACTCAATCAGATATGACTTTTAGCTGTGAAGATACCCATTTTGTTTGAGGGGCCCAGACTTAATCCTTCAAACTCTGGGTTATCTGCCCTTTATCTTGAAATTATGATTCATTTTTTTCTCTGAAATAAATATCCCAGAATTGCAATAGATTCAAAACCAGTTGAAGGTGTGTGATTACTAAAAGGAATAGGCTGAAAGGCAAACTGTAAAGGGATAGAAAAGGAAAGCTTACTCTCTCTTTTCAGTTTGTAAACAGATAGCTCAAGACCCACATGACTGTCCCACTTTGTACTCCACAGGGGCTCAACTTACCTGGCAGTTGTTACTCTGGAACTATGAGTGAATTTGCCCATATTCTGTAGTCTCTTGTTTTTGGAACTTGATCTATACCATTTACTGACCTCCTTCCTGAGGCCCTTGAGTCTTCATTCTTTATTCATTCACACTGTTCTCTTAACATTCATCTCAGACCACTTAGCCTTAACTTCGAATTTGGCCACTAATCTCTTGACAACACAGTGCTAAACTTCCACCACACTTTCTGCCCTGAAAAAATGGTGTTCCATCCTTCACCTAGGGCTTTGTGGGCTAGTGAATGGACCTGTGAGAAATAATACAATGTTTATTAAACATTTAATATGGGCCACACGTCGTTCTTTGTACTCTATGTTTGTCATGTCTTTAATCCTTATCACATGGCTTTTACAGAGGAGAAAAGAAGAGACAGAGATTAAGTCATTTTCCCACACTTATTTGTTTTGTTTGTTTGTTTTGGGCAATACTGGGATTTGAACTCAGGGCCTTGTGCTCACTAGTGAGGCTCTCTACCACTTGAGCCATTCTGCCAGCCCTCCCCACGGTTATAAAGCTAGAAAATAGTATAACCAGATCATCTGATTCCATATTCTTAATCCAGTGGACCACACTAAAATTAGAATAGATTCCATATTCCTATTCCTTTCTCCATAATTCATTTTTTTAAAAAATGGCTATTAACAAAAAAACTAACTATGTGCCATATGCTGGGGACAGAACAGTGAACAAGACAGATAAGGTGCCTATTTTCAGGCAGTTTATATATAGGGGGAAGGGGTGGGCAGAATGAGACAGATATTTTTCAAATTAATAAATAAATGGAAAAGACCATTTCAAACAGTGGTTAAATGAAGCAGGGTATTAAAAGAAGCTGATAAAGCCTAGGTAGGTTGGCTAGTCAGGAAAGATCTCTGAGAGAAGAGACCTGTTTGTATGCTGGGTGTTGAATGCTACATAGATTCCATCAATAAGAAAGTCTGGCACAGATGATGCAGGAAGAAGGAAGAGCAAGCAAAAGGACCCTGAAATGAGATGATGTTTGGGATATTTAAGCAACAGAAAGTAGAACAGAATGGCTGGAGTGAAGTGAGCACAAGGGCACGGTATGTGGTCAGAACAGAATCTAGTAGGATGCAGAGTGTGTGGGGGCCATGGGCATGGAAGGAGTCTGGATTTTATTTTAAGTAGACTGTGACATCATTGGACGACCTTCTGTAGGCAAATGGCCTACATGCAGAAAATGACCAATCCATCAGGCTGACAGGAATGCACATTTGTGATTATGAATCTGGGCTGAATACTAAGTTTATGATAGTATTTTCTAGAGTTCCTAGAGGCATTATAAAATTATTTGTATATAAAGTATATATAAGTGTTTATATCTAATATAAAATATATTTATATCTTATGTATATATAAAATCCTCACCTCTCTCTCTTTCTCTCTCTCTCTCTCTCTCTGACTCTCTCTTTCACACACACACACAGAGAAGGGTTTTATAAGTTATCTTACAAAAATACCCATTTTTTTCTCTAATCATCTTCACTTCAGAAAAGTTCTAAGTATAAACATACTTTGTCACTTTGGCTAATTTTAAATCAGTCCAGAGAAGAAACAGGTTGGTTTCTTGCTCCCCAGAGTGGAGTTCAAGACCAGTAACACCGTTGTTCCCTGGTGAGTTGTTGGAAACAACTCAAGTCTGCTGAATCAGATCTACATTTTAACAGGAGCAGCTGTGATTCAGGTGCACATTAAAGTTTAGTGAGATACTTTATTGTGTTAGCATTTTGTCTGTGTTATTTGAACTTGATAAAAGTAATTTCATTGAATCTCATAATGTGTGTTTTTACATTTAAACATACATGCAAAAATTTGGGCAGGTAAGTAGGTATACTGAACACCTACACTCTGTATGAAATAACAAGTATGAGCCCTCTGTTAACCTAAATGTTGGTGACATTGAATATGAGAATAGTCTTATTAGGAGCTATAATAATTGTTTATGTTACTTTAGTTTAGGAATATATGCATAGGCATTGCTCAGTAACAAAAATTTCTAGTAATCTATCCAGTAGCCTAAAAGATACTCATTCTATCATTTTATCTTTGTTAAAAAACATTTTATCCCTACATTTAACACTACTTACATTTATTTTAAGTTTTTATATCTTGCTTCATTGGGAAATTGGAAAGATAGATTTTGTGACCAAGAATAATACCAGTGTTGTATATTTACAAGTTCCTTTCTACCCAAACCTTATTCATTATAAATTAATAAGAGGATTCATTACATTTCAGATGTAGGGTTTCCTTGGGTATCCTGCTTCTTTTCTTTTTTTTTTGGTTTATTTTTTCACTTATTCATATGTGCATACATTGTTTGGGCCATCTCTCCCCCCCCATCCTGCTTCTTTTCTATGAGGATTATCTCCTTAAAATATAGGTTTCAATTCAGTTTCAAAATCAGGGCTTCATTTTATGTAACATTAGGCATTAGACATTTTCCATTTTAGAAGTATACTTCCAGTGACTTGTTTCACATACTGTGTTTAGATTATTTTTGTTTTATGATTGCCTTATCAAAAATTTGAATTCATTTTACGT